GCGTTGCCTCCCAGCCTGAGAGAGAACAAGCTGCAGAACATGTTTCAGCCACCTTTTATTGAAAGGTGAAGTGACAGAGCATAAAATCCACAAAGAACAAACAACACAGGCAGGCGGCACACATGTGCAAAAAACAAGATAAAAATAAGCCTTATGCCATCTAAACAGTGCTCTCATACAGGAGGGAAGTCTGTCAGTGCTCTGAGGACACAATCCAAAACAACACAAACGAGAACCATCAACTGCAAAAATATTGCACTTAAGGAACTACTTTGGAATGTGCTTATATTTAAGTCTTTAAATATAGAAATTCAACAACAAATAAAAATCTTTAAATATGAATTCAAAATCTCTCGAAGGCATTATTAACTACTGGACCTGAGAGATTATACTTTAACATTAGAGTGTAGATAAATATATATATTTATTTCTACTGTAGCTTTTATTATTCTTCATCCAACGTACCAGAACCAGAACGTTTCATTATATGTGCATCTAATTTAATTAAATATATATGTCAGCACACTATATAATTGGTCCCTAAACAGAAGTTTTCTTATTTCTCGCTGCAGCAAACAAACTGTCAACTTTCTAAACAAAATAAAACTCATCCGTAAATCCTCCCAAAACGTCTTGGACCCCGGAGCATCGGGGTCGTTTGATTCAAGTGAGTCCGAGTGTGATGATATGGTAAACTGGCAGAGGCGCGATGGCGACTGTGGTCTCTGTGGTTCTGCTGGTTCTTTGGTGGTGCTGCTACACTCAGCCCCAAAGATCTCCATCGTGTCTCGCACAGAGTCCCTCTGGCCTTACGTGTCCTCGCGTCGGTTGTAGTAGTCGCTGAAGAATGTGAAAATACTGATGACCACGCACATGGCCACGAACAGCGTCAGGGCGATGAGGAGGAGCCGCCGACTCACCGGGACCTTTGGACAGAACCGAGTGAGAATAGCCAGAACCTCCTCCATCCTCCTGTCAAGAGAACAGCCTCATACAGTTATTACAGTACGCTTGGTTTATGCTATTCATGTCTGTGTAGTAATAAATTTAGTTAACGGTTGGTTGGTTTTGTTTCCTGAAATACCCTGAAAGTCCTTTAACCTGTTAAGACCCGAGCTCTTGTTTGAGATGCATTTTTTATTCTCTTTGCCGTTTGATATGATCAAATAGCAAAGAGAATAAAAAATATAAAGAACATAAAAATAGATTAAAAAACAATACAAATATAAAACAATATTATGAATAACAATAAAATAATAACAATAAATTAAATATATAAAGAAAATAAAAATCTATTTAAAAAACATATAAACAATATAAGAAATAACAATAAAAAATAGTAAAAAATATAAAGAAAATAAAATATATTAAAAACATATTTAAACAATATAAAAAATAACAATAATAAAATAATAAGAATAAAAATAACAAAATATAAAGAAAAACTAAAAAATATTAAAAAATAGATATAAACAATATTTAAAAAAAAATAACACTAATAAAAATAATAATAAAATAATTTTAAAAAACTTAAAAATTAACTACTGTGGTAATATAACCCAACCATGTGACGTCCACGCATGTGGAGGTCTTACAAAATAATAATTTAAAAAAAGTGTAGGCCTCTTTAAAACAACAGAAGACAGATATATGTAAATAAGGATTTTATGCTTTGAATCTCTTGTTTTTAATACTTTAACTTCTTCTTGCCCCCATGTTTACTATTCATGGACAAGTTGTGCAGAACTGTATGTGAACCTGCTCTGTGTGATTCAGAATGTTTGTATTTCCTCTTACATAATAATATTTTTTAATTAAACTGAAAGTATAACAACAGAAGCATCTTTAATTGATCACACATCAGAACGTTCTTTCCTCATAAACATCCAGCTCGTTGTAATCAGGTGCAAAACAACATAAAGAGTTGGATGATGTAGACGTTCTGTTTGGAGAGGACCGCTTTGCATTTAAATCTAAGTTGAAGATGAATAATAATTTTGTCAGAAAAACACAACACATGCATCCGGTCTACCTGCTGCTCTTGAACCTCTTTCCGCTCTCTTCGTCCTTATTTTTCGATTCCAGCAGTTTCTCTGCAGCGCTCTCCTCTTCGCACTTCTCCTCCTGCAGCGCTTTGCTTTGCTTCATTCCCTCTTGATAACTGCGTTTGAAATGATCACATTTACCGGCAAAACACACTCACTCATCAGTCGCATAAATGTGGTGATTTATGATGAACAACAACAACGCTGTCACCGTGTTTGTGTACATTAACGGGCAGGAGAGAAGGCCTCACCCTTTGTTGTAAGCCTCCTCCTCGATCTTTGCCTTGAGCTCGGCTCTGATCTCGGCTCTGATCTCCTCCAAGTTTACAGAAGGCTTGGCCGGCTCACTTTCCTGCTCAGACGCACTCTTTCCACTGCATTGTTTCAGATAGGAAAGAGCAATCAGCCTTGGACACCAGCACCAGCACCAGCACAGCAGGCGTTATGAAACAGAGTTGGGTTCCATCACAACACCGCGGCCTCGTCTCGTAATGGACGAGCTGCAGAGCGGGCCGAGTGCATTACCGACGCCACCGCAGGCAAAAAAAACAGCAAACGGAGCGAGCACTTTGCACATTTGTTATTGCTATTCTCCTCAGAGAACATCTTGCTCAGACACTCGAGAGCTCGGCTCGCTTTATAACCACAATATGATCGGAGCCGCGCGCCTGGACTTTGTCAAACTCCTTCACAAATGTTTAGATTACGACCCAGGACGGCGGATCCCTCGACTGCAAGCGGGGTTTGATTATTTTTTATGCTTTCAGGGTTATTTTTACCCCACTGGGGCTTTCTGTGCACCGTAAAACACATCCTGAAGGTCACGCAAACAAGCCAAAGTTCCATCTGCAGCACAAAAAGCTTTTGATAAGAATGATTAGAAGTCGAGGTTTTTTTTCTCGGCCCATTGTTTCGAGGACTGCTGACCGACCTTGAAAATCAAGCAGTGGTATGTGTGTGTGTGTGTGTGTGTGTGTGTGTGTGTGTGTGTGTGAGTGAGTGTGTGTGTGTGTGTGTGTGTGTGTGTGTGTGTGAGTGTGAGTGTAAGCAAAACACCACAAGTACACAAAACATACCACTCTGCTGCTGCTGCTGCTGCTGGTTGTTGTGTTGGTGTTGCTGGTGCTGGTGGTTGTGCTGCCTCTGGAGTGGTGCTGCCTTTCACATCGTTCGCTTCACACTGAAGAGGAGACAGTTTGAGAACATTTTTGCTTTCTAACAACAAAAACATAACAGCAACCTTCGATGTTTTGTGACAGGATGCATAATTTTACAGGTTTGTGGAGCTCAAACTGAAATAAACAGTCATTTATATCAAACCATGTGAGATGTTTAGAATGAAAACTGCTCTTTAATGGAGACTTATGAATTTAGTGCAGTTGTTCCACTGCTGCTCATCTTTTTGTTCATTTTGTACATACTGTTCTTTGTATATTTAATATTTATCTACCTTTGCTATGAAAGAGAACATGATGAATGAGTGTGTTTTGTAATTAGGTTTGTAGAAGCCAATCACGTAATAAAAGTCCTGAACCAATAATGTCATATGCTTTGGCCAATAACATAATAACTTATTATTGGCTGATATGAGGTTCATCATGGCGCTATGTGGCACCATTCACTGCACTGACAACTTGTTTATTGCTGAAACATAACAATTAAAGCCTTAAAATCACCTCGAATCCCTTAAAATACGAGGCTCCAACCAAACATTACACACACTATATTATGTTAACTGGTGAATTACAGTAATTCTGGACCGTATCTGTTTCCATAGTGGAAAAAAAAAACAGTAATATGTCAAAAACAATAATAGAGTCTGTCCTCAAAAAGCCAAATACGTTTCCAACCCACACATGAACTTTAATTCAGCAGTCGCTCTGGGAGTGTTGCATTAAACGCTCGATGCCTCATTTTCCGTCTCTTGACAGGAGGACAGGAAGACCTACCAGGGCAGGAAGAGTAGCACCAGCCGTGGGCCCTGCGCTGGGGACCGGAGCAGCTGTGGCTGGGGTCTGACCCGGGATGTTGAGGAGGTTAAACTTAGGCACCACCGCCACGCTCACCCTGCGTCTGGGCAGCGCCTGCAGGAGACAGATGGTCAGAAGGAGAGAGAAAAACGTGTAACAGTCTCGACTACAGAAACGTGAGGATGCTGCTGAAAGGAGACGGTTTTGAAACGAGAAACAAGAAAGAAGATTATAAACATGACGACAGTTTTATCCACGTCTTGTCAGTCAGTCCAGACGAGGCTCACCTGATATGAGGAAATGCTATAATGCAGGACATCACGGTTCATTATTGCAACGGCTTTTTGACTCGTGATAAACTTTTCAGTGTGGTTGCGAGCTTCATACAGTACAGCTCCTGTGTTGGCCTTGTGTCAGTGTGTTTTCCTGCTTTCCTTTTCCAGTCTTGATGGCCTGCCCCTCACACTTCATTAAAGGATTGGCTTCACCTGCTTGGTGCCTTTAAAAGTTGAGTGAATCCAAGATGGCTCTCTCTTTCTGGAGGCTGGAGCCTCTCAGGTCTCTCTTGGTTTGGCTTTGGTTTGATTATGTTGAGCTTAGTCTTGGTTTGCGGACTGATTGAGTGTTTCCAATAAATTGCTCATGTATTTAAAAGCTGTTCCTGTGTCGACTTCCCTGCTTTGTTGTGCTCTTCAACGAGCTGGACACAACAACTTTAAACATGATTCATTTGTCATCACTTGTACAGACTAAACCGCCTCAGCAGCTACTGGATGGATTGATGGATGATAATTTTGCAGATTTTTTCTCCACTACAGGGTTCATTTTTGCGGTTTTGAAGGAAATATCTGCCCTTTAATTTCTAATATATTAGTTGATGAGCGTTTAGCAGCGCCGCCCCAAACAGATGCTTAGTCTTGCTATAAGACGAGCACAAACACAAAATCCTAAATGTAGCACCGACTACACCTTGACATGCATTTTATCTTTTTATATGTTTAAACTATCAGGCTTCAGTGAACAAACATCATTACAATCTACCAGGGTCCAGTGTTGAGTCTTTAAACACCTTATTGATGTCAAAAGTTCACATATATTCAATTTCCAGTGAAAAAGAAATAATGTAAAGAAACGTACCTTTCCGAGGGTGAGGGACATGGATCTGGATGGCCGTGGAACGCCATCGTCTTCAGAAAAAGAGCAGAACACAGTAAACACAAAGATCCAACCGGCAGTGATGCTTCAGCGTTCTCTCTCAAACACTCGACTCAAGTCAAATTTTAAAGACAAAATCTATCTACAAGCAGGAGACCCATCGTGAAGGAAGAACACAACATAAAGTTGTCTGGGTCAAACTCTCTGACCTCCAGTGTCCACAGATCCTCCATAACAGCGGTTTGAGTTCTGGTTGGCCAGCTTCTTAAACTCCATCAGCTCTGCGTGATCCTTCTCGTACGTCCTCTTCAGGTTTTCCACGTATTGCATCATGACCTCGGTGGCTTTGTTCATGCGTTTCTCCTGTTAGACAACAAAAACCCGTCAGAACCGGAACATCTGCTGAAACAACGACTGAGCAAACAGACCAAAACTGAATTTTTGTTTTTAAAGCTGCATTTAAAGTGTGCACATGCAGCCTTGACTTCGCTAAGTAACCCCGACTTCTATCCAAACACCAACGTTCTCATGTTTACTGCGTTTTCCTGATCTGTGGGACTGACTGCACTTCTTTTAATTTATATTCAATGACAATGAGCCAAACGCCATTTTTCCAAAAAGGCCACATGAACAAACAGCTCGTCAGCTCTGACGCTACGGATCTTAATCAGGAAACAGACTTCAATGGAGCAAAAGCAGCACGATGCTACTCTGTGTGAACCTCGTGTGCAATTATAATTAGACCGTTATTAATAGATGGGAGGGGAAAGACAGAAGAAGCAGTAATTCATCTGAGTGGTTTACATCCATCCATCATCTCTACACCTTAATCCTCACTGGGGTCATGGGGGGCGGAGTCTATCCCAGCTGACGAATTAGATGAATCCAGATCTACAACATGCTCCATAAAAACAGCATTCAGACCTCATCCTGCCTTCTAGACATCAGCGGCACTGTTTTCTGTTTAGTCTGCACTCTGTTACCGGCTGGCTTTAAGACACTGCTGAGTTAGTTACAGGTGAACTGCACACATCGATGTCTCTTCATCCATCCATCCATCATCGCTACACCTTCATCCTCACTAGGGTCATGGGGGCTGGAGTCTATCCCAGCTGACTCAGGGTGAAGGCAGGTTCACCTGGACAGGTAGCCAGTCTATCACAGGGCTACACTTAGAGACAGACAACCAAGCACACTCACATTCACACCTACGGACAATTTACAATCACCAATTAACCTCAACATGTTTCTGGACTGTGGGAGGAAGCCGGAGAACCCGGAGAGAACCCACGCTGCACGGGGAGAACATGGAGACTCCACGCAGAAAGATCACCGGGACGCAAACCGGCGACCTTCTAGCTGTGAGGCAACAGCGCTAACCACCGAGCCTCATTTGAGTGGTTTGTGGCTCTAAATAGTTTTTAAAAAAAAACCTTTGTACTGCATCAACTGTGCTCTTTTTCTAATGTTTGTTTGAGATAAAATCCGTCACCATAATATTTAAAACGCTGCCAAACAGGCACTTATGCGTCCCCGAGACATCCTGAAGCACAAGAGTCTCTTTCAAACAATAACATGTCCTGTGTATTTGGACGGTGCACCAGACTGGGCTGGAGGTTTGCACCATCATCTCCATGCACCTGTCGAACTGCTCCCACGATCTCTGCTCTGCTGGAGAGTCGCGTGGCCAGTCGGTGCAGGACGGCCAGCGTCTCGATGAGCCGCTGATAGGCTTCACGCTGCTCCAGGTTCTGCCACTGCGGCGCAGTCATCTGCAAGAAACACGACAACATCATCTGGTAACGGATCTCAAGCAAAACAAAGTGTGCATCAATGTCCCCGCTGTACCTGGACTCAGACAAGATAAATATATCCTGCGGGACACTTCCAGGAAACATTAAACAGATGGATGAGCACTAAAGAGCCAGCGGGAATTCTTCTTTTCTCCCGAGTTAATCTACAATCAGCTGCTGTTTTCGAGGACTGACCTTCAGCGCTCCTTTGAACTCCTCCAGTTCTTTCTCGGTGTCTTCCTCGGTCAGATTCCTCTCCCTCTCTGCCTGCTTGAGCCGCGTCTCCAGAGTGTAGTTGTCGTTACGAAAGGCCAGTGACAGCTGGACGAAAGCGTTCTGCGAGAGAGGAAATTACTGCCATGTAGCGCTCAGGTTGGCACATTGAACATTAAACCACGGATGAGCTGCAGGTGATGGCAGCACACCAACAACGCGCAATAAATCCTAGAAACCTGAATACATGAAACACACACATATATAAACAATCTGTTTAGTGGTCGGAGTCATAATAATATAAAATTGATGGGTTTACGGGGAGCCGAGCGGCCCCGAGACGAGCGTTGGGAACAAGCTGCTCGTCTGACATTTGACCTCTCGGTGTTTTTGCGACGTCGATCAAAGCAAGTCTGCACAATTTTTCCAACATACATGAGCCACAGCTGAGAGGAAACATACGACCTATGACTGTCCTGATCCAGACGAGTCCCAGAGGGAGCGGCGAGAGGAGCTACAGCGAGTGTTTGCATTTTTCTCTGCAGGAAATCACTGCGAGTCTCTTCGGCCTGATCAGGGACAGAAAAAAACACTATTTTCCTGTTGACAGAACAGCGCCGAACCCGAGCTGCCAATTTTTAACAATTAGCTCCTGTGGTAACATAACAGGTTGCTGTAAACACGGCGGCCGCACGTGATGGAGGTTCGGCTGGAAGTGGAAAAATCCAGCGTCTTCCAACACAAATCACCGGTCGAAGCAAACAAATTACTCCTGGCAGGCAATCGTGGGACTTGGACAATTAGTGAATGTGGATCAGGGTGGGGTGAGAACGTTGGATGGAGAACGTGGCTCTGAGCCTAGTTTTAGCTATTTAACCATTTGAGTAATAAACAGCTGCATCCGTAATAAACTGGGTCCCTGAAGGAGTTCATTAAAGGCATATCTCAACATTTTTTTTTTTGCTTTCTTGTGAATTACAGCAGATTAAACAGCTGAATTAATGAGCTTCAGGGCTGCTGCTTGGTGGGTTTTGTTAGATTCAGACGGATCAGTCAAATGCATTCAAGCAGGAAAAAAAAACAAGAAATTGACAAAAATAATAATAAATAAAAATTTAATGAAAATCATGACATTGGTTTTGAATTGTGGTTCAACAGAAATATCAAAAAACAAAACAAAAAAAACAAAACAAGCATAATGGGACCAGTACAATACATGATTCTGGCCCACTGCTCATCAACAAAGTGTCCAGGACAGTTTTTTTATTTTTTTTTTTAAATTTTCTTTTCAACCACAACTCAAAAGTAATGTCTTATTTCTCTAAATTACAATTTTGCAAATTTTTATTTATTACAACTTTTGTTAGTTTCTAGTTATTTGAGTGTGAATTTTGCCTTTTCTTTAATGAAGGGGATGAATACAATTGAGGATGATTGCAGGCTTCAAGATAAAGATGGACATGAGGATGACGTCCATCTAACCCTTGATAAAATACATGTAATTTCTAAACTGTCACACTATTTAAACTGAAGATAAGTGCATTTAAATCACCAAAAACTACCTGCACACATGAACAAACCACCAAACTTTCACTTCTTCTCTATGAACTCGTACCATCTCTCGTGTTTTTGGAGCATTTTCTTTTGTATCTAAAGAAATGTTTGGAAATGACATGAAGCAACAAGCACAGACCAGATACTCACCTCGACCTCTTTCTCAGTGAGCGGAGGAGCGCTGGAAGGAAATCAGAGAACAACAGTTAGCTGACTTGTGGAGGGCTGTTCTTGTGGCTGTTCTTATGGCTGTTCTTATGGCTGTTCTTAGGGCTGTTCTTAGGGCTGTTCTTATGGCTGTTCTTAGGGCTGTTCTTAGGGCTGTTCTTAGGGCTGTTCTTATGGCTGTTCTTGTGGCTGTGAGGGGCTGAAGCAGCAGCTCGGTACGCACCAGCCCGGCAGGCCGCGGTGAAGCTTCAGCTTTCTCAGCATTATGTCTGAAATGTTGGGCATGGCGTCGGACTTCTCCTTCGTCTCCTCGCTGCTGGACGAGTGTGGAGAAGATGGAGATCCTGCAGAAACACGACTGCGTTAACCTCAAGGAAACTGCCTGGAGTCGAGTCATTTGAAACCTCTCAGTGCAAGTTGACAGAATCGATATCGTTAAACATCAACTGTGTTCAGTTGGCATGTAAATACACACATACATGTAATTACTGTGTCAGTTCACAAGACATTTGAACTCTTTTTAAAAGGATTGAGCTCCAAAAAAACTAATAAAAGAAGAACAATCTCTTATTTTATCACTTTCCAATTCTGTCTTTTGTTGTTTTTTTTTTACAATTTGAAACTAATTTAACTTGTATGCACATATTAAAACGACATGTATTTGATCTCGTACACAAAATAAGATTTTAAAAAGTTAAAAAAAAAAATGTAAATAAAAATAAAATCAGCAGCTTTCTAACGCTGGCCAGTTTAAGCTGCCGTCGTCCCAAAACAAACTCTGCCGTAGCATATATGATGGATTAGGCTTTTCTTTTGAAAGAGGAGGGAGGTGTTATCAATTCTTTCAGCAGCTATACAGTCTTATTTGAAGGTCTCTAAATGCTGACCGTTAAAAACTGTTTCTCTGATTTGGCCAAAACTAAAAATTAGTCATTTGTCATTGTTCTGGTTTTCACTTCTCAGGCTGATTCTCAAGCAAACTCGTCAGTATTTCTGTCTCGATTCTCTTGTCAAAAATGCACACAATAAAAAGCTCCTTCATCAGTCTGTCTTTGACTCACAGACTTTAACAATCACGCCACCTGCTGATGGGAAATGAAAACAGCACTCGTCTCTCTGTTATGAAGTTGCCAGTAAACGGGTGGCACAGAGGGAGAAAAAAAAAAAGAAAACAAGAATCTGTCATCATGATTTTCAGGACTCAGACTTTCCCTGAGGTTCAGGAAGTGCCCACCCTTGGCGACGTGGCTGGATGTGCTGCTTTGTGTGACCGGGGAGCCGTTACCTTTTTCCTGTTCGGCAGCTTCACTCAAGTCTGGCAGCTTGGATCCCACAATGCTTTGGTTACGCATCAGCTTGTGCTCCTGGACACGGAAACAGGACCAAAACATTCTTTTTTTTATTATCATCTCACGACATTTTACCCAAAGGGACACTTGATTACATAAAGAAGGACTGAGGACAGTGACTGAACCCGCTGAAGCTTTACCTCTCTGAGTTTGGACAGTTTCTGGACCGTCCCCGGCTGAGTGGGGAGGTCTTTGTACCCTGAGGACTTGAAGACGGCATCCCTGGGTTTGTCTGAGAACGTGTCCTCGGCTGTAGGAGGGAAACTCGGGGCTCCGTTTCTAGAATTGAGGCTGCCGACAGTGTCCCAGGAAACAGCTCTCATCAGCGGAGGAAAGGCCCCGATGGTCTTGATCTCGGCGGTGCAGGGGGCCTGCTGGGTGGGAGGTCTGGGGACCGGCTTGGCCACCCCTGTGGCCGGGGCCTGGTTTGGGTTTCGACCTGAAACCTCATCTGCTTTACTGGCTGAGGGAGGACTCTTGGGCGCAGCAAGATCGCTGCTGTCCTTCTGAACAGCAAAGCGGGGCGTCAGAGTCCCAGAGGACACCTTCCTCTTCTCAGCAGGCTTCCAGTCCACCAGCAGCCGGCCCTGAGGTCGGTGAGAAGAACTCGATTACTGAGATGTTCAGTGTTTTTGTTGTGCTTTTACATTTCATCAGGCCTCAGACTGGGCACAGAGGGGATCTAAGCTTTACAGGCATTTAGATAGATTTCAGTCACAGGGTTCTAACAAAGGTGTGCATCTCCTACAAAGCTTTCTTTACATTTATATTCATGTTGTCATTCATGTGTTAATAAACTAATCTGACCTCTTGATCCTGGCTGGTTGTGTCAGACTGCTCCCTCCCTGAAGGAAGCTCCAGATGCTACAGGAGAACACAGCAGCGTTATCAAAGAACATAACTGAGTTGATTTCAATCAGGCAGAGTTGATTCTAACCCTCTGAACACAAGACCACCTGATCCTACTCACTGTAGGCTCATTTATAACCTGCAATATAAAGTCCTGCAGCTCAAAAAGATCTTTTATGTGAAAAAAGATATGCCATAAACCATAAAAATAAAAGAAAAAAAATCTGTTTTACAAAAATAAATCTCTAATAAACAGCTTAGAAATAACATTTGTTTCCACGCTTGTCTCACGTCTGCTCTGTGGAAACTCAGGTTTATTTCTGGCACATTTTAAAGGTCAAATGTCACAAAGTTAAGATTGGATTTGATTATTTTTCCCATCGGAACTGAAGATTTATTCAAGGATTGGACATTTGAAGGTTGAAAATCCATTTCTCCTTTCTGCTCTCTCAGTCTCTGGTTCTGCTAAACGTGGTGGATAAATGGTGTAATTCTGGTAGTTTTTCTGGGGTAACATGCTGCTAAAACCCACCGGTGGGTTCTGAGGTCTAGAGGGTGACATCAGGTTTCTATTTCAGAGGCACGAAGACGAAACGCTTCACACGAGGTGCACAAATTAGAGCAGCGTTTAAGGAAAACAATAAAAGCAGAACTAAATAGAACACTGTTGGTTTTAATAGTGGAAAATGAGCGTGCATGGAGAAACTGTGCAACAATAACAACAAGCATTCCTTTACCTGACCGACAGACTGAGGGCTGACGTGAGCCTCCGACAGTCCTACAGGAAAAACAAATCATCTTCATCAACTCCACAACATTAATGATAATAATAATAATAAAGGATTTAAAAAGTAAAACATAGTTTTAATTAGTCAAAAAGCACAAACCAGGAGCCACGGTCAGCGAGCTGCTTCTGGATGAGCACGGGGAGGACGATGGTGTCGGAGCTGGAGAAAGACCTGCAGAGAAAATGAATTAAACACATTATAGTAACCAAACAAATAAAAACAGAACAGTCATCCTCAGATTTATTCATATCCTTCCATTAAAGAAAAGACAAAATCCACAACAGTCACTCAAATAACTAGAAACTGGAAAAAGTAATAATAAATAAAAATTTGCTAAATTACAATTTAGTGAAATAAGACATTGCTTTTGAATTGTGGTTAAAAAGAATAATTTAAAAAAAAACAAAACAAACAAAACTGTTAAATACCTGTCAACAGGTGCAGAGGTCTGACTGAGAGTTACAGGAAACACCTGATTGGCTCAAAGAGTTGTTCAGCTAAATATTAGTTTATGGGTCCCAGCATGCTTGGTTTTTGTTGTTGTTGTTGTTTTTTTTGTTTTACATATATATATATATATATATTTCTGTTGAACCACAATTCAGAAGCAACGTCATGAGTTTCATTAATTTTTTATTTATTATAACATTTGTCAATTTCAACTTATTTCAGCTGTTTTGTTCCTTCTTTAATGAGAGGGTATGAATACATTTGAGGCCGATCGTATATTTAAAATAAATCTAAACACTTAGACAACATGGGACTTGTCATAAATTATCTCCTGCTGATGAATAATTTGCCATGTTTGTGCGTCTGAGTGTGTGTGCGCCTGCGCTACCTGTGGGCGAGTCGGTGAGGCTGCTGGTGGATCGGCGGCCGCGGCGCGTCAGAAAGCGGTCGCTGACCTTCTTGGCCTGTTCGAGCAGCTCCAGGTTCTTCTGTCGATCCTCCTCAGAGAGCTGCAGCTCCGGGAGCTGGTCCTTCACCAGGTCGATCACATTACCGGTGCTGTCTGAGAAACACAACACGCACATAAAAAAACACAGACACACAAGCACACTTTTGATTCTGTAGTTTTATCTACTGATACTGAAAGAATATCAGAATACAAGCAAACAGAAAGTGGTTTTAAACAGACAACAATCTTAAGCAGTGAGCTCCTTTTCAGCAGAACATCAGGTAGATAAGAGAAGCTGCATCCTGAGTGTGTGTACGAGGGATTTCTAAAGCCTCAGGGGAAGGAAAGAGTCAGAAATGGATGTGAGCCAATAAATCAAGTGATGTTTTTATCTCCTTCTCTCTTAACATCAAAAGTAACCAAATCATCCGAAGCATTTTCGGCATGTTGGAGGATTTGCTGACTCATGTTTCAGGACGCTGATGACCAAACTTGGCCTAAATGTTGTGAAACTTCTCCGCGAAATGACAACGCTGTTTTGTTTTTATTCTTGCTGGGAAAAAAAACAAAGATGTTGTAAATTAGGAGTGGATTGTTTGAGCGGTGATCGGGTTCCAACGGTCCACTCAGGAGGAGAGCACTGATGGAAAAACACTCCAGGATAAAGATGGTGACTTCAATTTGCTGCTGGACTAAAACAGATGATGCTAATGATAACATTTAAATAGTTCTCATCGTGTTGTTTATTTTTAGATACTTCAAGCTGCAGTGTGTGTGTGTGTGTGTGTGTGTGTGTGTGTGTGTGTACCCACCGACTGTGGTGATGGGTCCTCCAGAGGAGTTTCTGGCCAGGCGAGCTCTGGGACTGTGTGGTCTGAGAGAGACAAAAAACAAAACAACAACAATACCGGCTCACTGTCTGTGTTTACAGCTGAAGACAAGAAGAAAACTGTTCGAGGGTTTGAGGCGGTGGAGGATCACCTGGCCTGCTCCAGAGGACGTCCATCTGGCTGGACGATAGCGGCCTGCTGCGGGTAGACGATGGTCGGAGCGGTCATGATGACGGCTCGACTTTCTGCTGGTGTTGACTGAGAGAAAAAAACAAACGTGCTAAAGTGAGTTAAAACGAGGTTACAGTGAAAGCAAGGCTGGATGAACCTGCTGTGGAGCTCTGGTGAGAAACTTAGGAGGACGCGTAAGCAAAACCTGAACTGAACTGACATAATGAGCAAATTAAAACTTGATTTGACACAGCAAGACTCATCCATCCATTATTTATACACCGCTCAGTCCTCACTGGGGTCGATGGAGTCTATCCCAGCTGACTCAGGGTGAAGGCAGGTTCACCTGGACAGGTAACCAGTCTATCACAGGGCTACACTTAGAGACAGACAACCAAGCACACTCACATTCACACCTACGGACAATTTACAATCACCAATTAACCTCAACATGTTTCTGGACTGTGGGAGGAAGCCGGAGAACCCGGAGAGAACCCACGCTGCACGGGGAGAACATGGAGACTCCACACAGGAAGATCCCGGGTGTCCGCATCAGGACGCAAACCGGCGACCTTCTAGCTGCGAGGCAACAATGCTAACCACTGAGCCACCTTGCAGCAAGACTCAAGAATAAGAAAAAGCAGCTGAACAAATCAGGTGTGAACAGCTTCAGATTCAGGGTTAACACCCAAACATCTGCATCCTGAGTCGAGCTAAATAAGGTCATCTTAGACATACGGTAAGTATCAGGCCTGCCCTGAACTTATAAAACGTTACGTGAACATTGCCCCATTGGTTCCTCAGCTGAACTCTCTGCCCATAAAGTACTTAAAGGTCACTAGACAGACAAGGTGTATCCAAAAAAGTCCTTCAATTACAGTTTTACAGCATAAAACTCTGCTATGAGAGGTACGCATGCAAACAGACCCACATCAAACACTGGTTCCTTAAGTCCTCCTTTAAAAGCTTATCTTCGCCATAGATTCCTAATAAAAGGGATCCTTCAGACGGTAACGCTGCAGGTCGGCTGCAGCCTCACCGCGGCTCTGCTGTAATGAAGGTGGATGCTTTTATAGTGTTGGCATATGCCCTGGAGATTAGATTACGTGGCTTCATTACATTCTGCAGAGATGTCTTATCTGCCAGTGTGTTTATGAGCGACGGCAGCGGAAGACAATGTTCTCCCGTGTTCAGGCTGTTTAACGCTTTGCTGTCCGGGGGATGTTTGCTGATTCCAATCCTGGTTCTGAGATGCTGAGAAGCTCTAATCTTCAGGGTGAGGGAAAGCTTCAGGCCACCCAAAATGATTTAACTTCCACTCTGTATAACTGGTATCAAACTGGGCCGATCATTTTGGTTTGTCTGCTGAGGTTTTCTGATATTCATCTTGGGAACTGGCGTTGTCGTCACCGTACGTTGTGGGCGAATGTAATTTGTGCAAATTGAGTTTTTCAGATACACTTTAGTGGCGATAAGGAGCATAACGTCACAACTTCAGTCAGGATTTGTGGAGACAAAAAAGGCCAAAAGAAATGCAGAAGTCAAAAAGCTTTAGTGAAAATAAAACTATCTGTGAGGACAGATTAGTTTTAGGGATACATGAGAAAAATGAGAAGCGCTGGGAAGAAAACAATTCTGTCCCACAACAACAACAAAACACAAATTTGTCTCCAAGGACGTATAAGGTTCATTTTTATAGAGACGAGATATTCAACACACAACAGAAAAACCAGAATTAGCCTTCACCCTGAGCTGATTTCAGTGAGCTCTGTGGAAAATTCCTCAGCTGTGGCTCTACGTTTGGTGATTTATTCTAAAAGCAAAGCAAAAGTGGCCTTCAAAGGCTCATAAAACATCCAGGAATCAGCAGAATGAAAATCCCCTCTGAACAGTTTATGGGACATAACTACTATACGAGTACAGAGCTAAAAAACAAAAGTACAAGTCAGTATTTTCATTTGTAGAACTGGAAGTTTCTGTTACCAGCTTCAGTCAGCCAACAGGAGAGAACGTTTTCAACAGTGTTTGGTTGAAGAAAAGAACACTGTGCTCTCAGTGGTTAATCAAAACTGAAAGCAGCATGTCGAAGGAGAAAAGGGACTCAGACTTCAGTGGTAGCATTGATGGAATTTCCTCTCAGGGCCAAACGGATTATGGAGTCGGAGGTTTCTGCTCCAAACAGAATATGTGGACGTCTTGGGCACTCATGTATCATCTGCACAATGCCAGTGACATTTAGAGAGACAGTACAGTTTTTTATTCACTACTTCGTCCTCCACTCACTGTGCTGGGAGAGCTGGAGGAACTGTCCAGCTCCTCGGGAGAGTCCTCCTCCTCCTCGGGCAGCGTGGGCATGGCGGGAGGCAGCGAGGGCCGAGACCGGGTGTGGGGGAAAATAAAGGGTCTCTCAGCAGCGGCGGCGTCGGCGTCACAGGACTCCTCAGAGATACGGTCGCTTTGTTCAAGAGGAGCTTCCTGCACTAAGTGTTTCTCCTCCTCCGCCTCCTCCTCCTCCTCCTCCTCCTCCTCCTGGGGCTATAAGGTCAGAGAAACACAAATGCAATAGATGAGTAAATATGAGGGAAACCTCTTCCCTCGTCGCTGCACTTATTGAAATGGTGCCTCTCTGCTGAACTACAGTCAGAACGAACCAGACTGTCACGCAATAAACAAATCCTAAAATAGCTTCATTCTTCATTGAACTGCAACAGCGTGTTAGCAAATCTTCCCAGAAGACTGTAAGAAATAAAACCGCTGCCTTGATACTCTGACTGTCCGATGACTCACACATTTCTCTACCAGTTAGATACTTAAAAAGGAAAGCGTGTGTAACTGTGAAGTGCAGCTAGTGACAGCTGCTGCATTCTCTCTCAGGTCTGAGCGTCGCATTTAAACCATAAAAACATGACTTAAAGGTGCTCTGTGGAGTTGTAGTGGCGTGCATGGTTTGTTTCCATCGTGCAAGAGGACACATGTGCATGCAAGAACACTGGCTGCACAGGTCACAGACTGTTAGCTTCACTGGTGTGCAGATGACACGCAACAAAAACCAAAAACAAAGTAGTGAATAAAAAAAGTGTCTCTAAATGTCACTGGCATTGTGCAAATGATAAATGAGGAAGAAAATGCATGCAACACATTGGATGTTGTGTTTTGGTGAGACACACTGAAAACACCCAAAGGGCACCTTTAACCTCAGATGTATTCAGACCCTTCTATTAAAGAAAAGGCAAAATTCACAATCGTCACTCAAATAACTAGAAATTGGAAAAAGTATTAATAAATAATAATTTGCTAAATTATAATTTAGTGAAATAAGATGTTGCTTTTGAATTGTGGTTGAAAAGAATAATTTAAAAAAATAAAACTGTCTCAGACAAATTAGAGCACTTTGCTGACGAGCAGTGAAATCAGAACACCTGTCGACAGGTGCAGAAGTCTGACTGAGAGTTACAGAAAACACCTGATTGGCTCAGAGGGTTGTTCAAATAAATATTAGTTTATGGGTCCCATCAGGCTTGTTTGTTTGTTTTTTTGTATATGTCTGTTGAACCACAATTCAAAAGCAACGTCATGATGTTCATTAAATTTTTTATTTATTATTACTTTTGTCAATTTCAACTAATTTCAGCGTTTTTTTTTCCTTCTTTAATGGGAGGTTACGAATAAATCTGAGGACGACTGTATACCTACGTAGGACTTCTTCACTTAAAAGAGAAAAAATGACGCATTTGCAGGATTCTTCTAGATTTAAGAAGCACTTGCAGCGATTTTATAATTTTCGTCCGACACAAAAGCAGCATCTCTGCTTCACAACATCACTAATGAGAAACAAATAAATACAACTCGCGCTCTTCATTGAACTCATAAAGCCAGAGCTCCTTGTGTTTTTCTTCCCACACTGTGGCTTCCATCAGGCACAAACACTGACTGGGATGCACTGTGCTGCTACCAAACTCAGAGTAACTCGCTCTCACAGGCTGACTGAGGGAATGAGCTCCTGAGGGACACTGTAAAACCAACAAGAGGGGCTCGAGGATAAATTAGGAAGAAAAAAAAAAAGAAACGAGTGACTGCGTGGAAGATTACTGAGAGGAGAAACCATTACTGTAGCGGCTGCACTAAACGCTTTTTGCTTAAAGCCACTCAGCTGTGAATTTATTAAAGCTGTGTTTAGCAAAGTTAAAGGTGGAGGAGACAGAATAACAGGACGAGAGCATAAAGTGAAGACAAACTGCAAAAGATACGACCAAATACGAGCAGTGGGACGGTGCAGCATTTGGTTACTGGGATAAAGAAAACATGCAGATGAGGCAGCTACACAAAAATCTAAGATATCTTCTCAAAGATCGAGGCTGGAAATGATCAGCAGAGCTCATGTGAACAAAAGAGCTTCAGATACCTACAACAGGATCGTCTGTGATACTAGAGGCCATCATACGGTCGATGCAAATGTGTGTTTGTTTGACAAAGACAGAAAACAAAATCTGTGGTGTGCCGCATATGTAGGCTCCATATTTTATTGACTCATCATAATAATAATTTTAAAAAAATCATAGATTACTTTCTTACTGGTTGAAAAGATAAATTTGGCTCAAAACAAAGAGCTTCAGTTTATTATTGTCACAAATATTCACATTTAAAGTGAAATATACTTCTTAAAAAATGAATTAAGTGTTGATTTAATCATCAGATTTGTTGCGGGGTATTTTATGATAATTGAAATATTGAATAACTGCCTATTTGTTGCAGCTGCAAGTCCTTTGAACACTGCAGCACTAAATTACAGGCAAACATGACCTATTTTAGTCAACAATCATGCGTGCAACTGGTTTGAACCATTGTTTGCTGTTCCCTTTATAGCAGCACATTTATGCAAATACAAATGCGGAGTAGTTTTAACCCTTTGAAGGACCGAGCTGGATGCTAATGCTCTCCACATTTCTTTGAATTGACGACGACCGGTGCAGGTGCGACTCTTCTCTCTGCCTGCAGTCGCATTCGCCAGCTGTTGGAAAAGACGTGCAGGCGAGTGAAAGGTGTGATAAATGATCGGCTATTTCAGAGGTATGGCATGCACTTAAGGCTGGACAAATCCCCCGAGAATTGGAGGCCAAAGTATGCGGAGTGCTGCTGAATGTCATCACAAACATGACAAGTTCTTGGGAACATATAGGGACAGAAAGGCTGTGAGTCACTGGGGAGGAA